AAAAATAAGTAGTAATATAAAAGTGATTCTCTGAAGTAGGTACTTGAATTATATTGAAAAGTGAAGTGACCGCGAACATGTTAATGAATCATATTTTGTGCTAACTAAGTTACTCTACAATCGACTAGAAAAAATATTAGAATTCATATAAATATGAGTGTTATCATTATTAYACCTATTGATTATTAACATAGTTGTATCATATRGTATATAGTACCTATACATCTGTGGCAGTAGTTGATATGTCTTAGATTGCAAAAATTGGAAATGATAATACTATACCTACACCAAAAATATTTTTAACTAGTGATTTCTGTATTAAAATTTTGCATGTAACTAAAATAAAAACATGACTTATACATCTTTAGAAAATTTAGTGCATGAAATGATTTTTAAATATTAAATACTTATTTTTAAACAGGTAGTAGGTACCTAAAAAATTACCTTCTAGATCAGAAACTGTGCCTTGAAGTCTCAAAACACTCTCATTCATATTAATACTAATATCACCTTGTTTCATTATGCCAGCAACCAAATTATATGCAAACCCTGGATGAGTATTTTCAGTTTTAAACAATGCTGACCGTAAAGTTTGAGACGCAGAAACGTTGCGTTTCTCTAACTGAAAATCACAACATTATTTAGTTTTGTTACAATATCATTGATGTAGATACATAAATACAATTTTGATAATAATCAAAAATATGATAGTACCAAAAAAATTTAATAGAAGCATTTTCGGAGGGATTGTTAGGGACAGCGCGGAACATTAAATACCTGAGACAAAATCGGCCTGATCAATACTGGTAGAACCAGAGAACTGACTGGTGTTTCGTCGCTCATTTTCATTATTTAGCGACAGAGTTGGACGTGAGCAATACGACGGACATCAGATATTTTTCTGGAGATGTTTGGAAACCGTCGAACAGACAGGACTGAGTTTTGTGCAGCCCCAGGGCGTCCGCGATCGGCTGTTGCGATCGAATCGAAAAACAGTCGTGTCCACGTTACATCTCGTCCGTTGATTTCTGATTCGCCGTCACGCGAAAGACGTCGATGCTGCTGTTGTTTGTAATGGTGTACAGGGAATTCGGTACAAAAAAAAAAAAAAACGCTATCAAAGGAATTACTAATTACTAGTCGTGTAATATCGCAGTGAAGCGCACTCAGTCTGTAGTTTCGTGGGACGGAGAACGAGAAAAAGAATAAAAAGAAACAATGATAACGATAAGCAAGACCGCCCGCCCCTCGGTCAACGTGAACCACAAACGTTTGGCCGCGCCGGGGCGAAACGTTCTGCTAGCGCGCGAAAATTTGAAACAGTCGGCTGAGAACTCACGTGACTTGAAATTGTTAGCCTGTCGTCCTA